TCATAATGGACAACGCACCCTACCACTCCCAGCAAATAAATTGGGCACCGATATCAGCTAACAAAAAGAGTGAAATTAAGGAGTGGCTCCGCCAACACGGGATCGAGTTTAGTGATAGTGAGCTCAAGCCGGAACTATTACAAAAGGTATTTCAGATATTATTATCTAAAGTTTTCAAAACAGTTGTTTTATTTTAAGTATTTAGTTGAATATACAAACAACATTATATTTAGAGGTACAACGGAACCGACCAGAAAAAAATATACAAATTAGATCAGTTAGATTTGGAGTCAGGACACGAAGTGATTCGCTTACCACCTTACCACACGCGACAGCGGCAGGGCCAATCTAGGGAGCAAGGAAGGTCTTGCGCTCCAGCCGCCCTGATGCAGGACCGACTTAAAAAATTGCCCCTGCTTGCGTACACACATCACAATTAAGGAGGCAATTAAGGGTCATCCCCACTCCTACACCCTAGATTGCCCCTGCGGCAGGCATGTCAGTAGGCGCCTTTACTGACCCACTTCAACTTCAGCTTACTGATGTGTAATTCAAGAATATATCAAGTAATAATTTTAACTACTAAAGAAAAGATTAAAAATTCTAAAATCTACTGAAAAGTACCACATGTGGAAAAGAAAAGAAGCATATGAACCTTAGAGTATTCAACTAACAGGAGACGACATTGGAGAGCGTTCCCCGCTGTCAAAAGTACGAGAGCGCGGATCATTCCCGTTATATAAAACTAGTTGCGCCGCGTACGGCGTCAGTTACCAAGTAGTCGTAAGCGTGAGTTGACCTCCAGAAAAATGTCGAGTTGCAGTGTGTTTTCTTGTAAAAAAAGATTACAGACCTCAAATTTACAAAAAGACGGCGTTACCTTTCATTTTTAAGTATTTATTTTGATTTCAATAATTAATATAAGCATTAAATCACGAAAATTCTGATCAATATAGCTGAGCAGGTAGTGTTGCCAACTTAAAGTATTAATACTATATTAAGAACTTTTGCACCACTAGGACATAATTAAATTTTGCTTAATTGTAGACAAATGTCGTTTCCCTTTGTTCTAATTACACAAGACCAAATCGTGTTATTGAATAGTCTTAAATTCATCAATATTATTGTGATCTGTTTGCAAAACTATATTATTTCAAACAACATTAATAATCTTTAGTTGTTTTTAGCGAAATGAAAACATCAATTTAAATTGTTTTATTGTATATAAAACATTTGAAATAGATATTTTAATTTCATTATGTTACGTTATGAAACGAAAAGAAGGGGAATTCCGAGTATATAAAATGGTATCATCAAGACAACAATAGTGATGTTCACGGAGTTTTGGCGGGAAATTGACCGGCGGCGGTTTGCTGCTCCTGTATTATTGTTTAAATAATGGTTTGAAGTGGACTTTGATATGTAAAAGTGTTGCGATTTTGTGTATTAAGTGTCTACGCATGTGAACTATTAGTGGAAACAGTGAAACAAGTGCTCTGATGGTGATGGATTCTCAAGATAAGCTGTTTGTTTGCATAGGCACCTTTAGATACCATCGCCAACTATCAGCTGTCTGCTGGATCAAGTTGCCGCCAAAATCTCCCAAGAACTGCACAATGTGACGCATCAACATATTGTGAAGCAGTATACTATGAAGGAGTGGGGAAATTACAATAAACCGAATAAAAATACTTAAGACTTGGCCTAAAGGTCTAGATACCAGGCCATAAACTCCAAAAAAAAAATAGTGATGTTCACTCATGTTCAGCTTGCTACATATATATTTATCTATGCTCATGTTCACTGTAATCCATAGATAAATATATATGTAGCAAGCTACAAAATACTGTAATCCTTAGTGTCGATGTTTTTATTTTTATTTTATTTTTTTTTATTGATAGAACCACCAACGAAATAACATGTTGTTTTAAAAAAATGTGACAATAGGCTTAGGAACTAAGATTTACATGTTTTCATTTAAAGGTAGTTACAGCATGTTTAAAAAAGACGATAACTGTACGATAACTTAATAATTGTTACAAGTACGAGTAAAATACTAATATAAAACAAACAAATACAATAAGGACAATACGAAATATATGAAAATTAAAAAAATATAAAAATAACAACATTTATATCGAGTTTATATAAAGTTATGGTATAATTTTTACTATGAGTTATTAAATAGATTGACAATTTTGTCTCTAAAAGATTTTATACTATCGCTAAATAAGTCAATAGTCTTATCTTTAAGGACACATTCGTTATACAATCTGCTTATTCTCGGTATAAGAGAGTGATGATCAAGATTAGTTTTATACAATTTGTGTGTTGAGTAAGGGAATCGAAAAACGCGGTACACGGCAGGGAACTTTGAACAATATTTGTGATAGTAATTCTGCAGAATCTATAGTCCCATTTGTAAGCTTGTACAAAAAAACTAAATCATGTAGTTTACGTCTGTCCGAAAGTGAGTTTAATTTTAGTTTTAGGAGACGAGGGGAATAGGATTCCATATGATTACCACTAGAACAATATTGAGTGAATCGTCTTTGAATGCTTTCTATACGATCTTTGTGTATTTGATAATTAGGGCTCCATATGATGGTACCGTACTCTAATTTACTTCTAACTAAGGAAGTGTAAAAAAGATTTTTTGTTTTGATTTTTTTAAAACATTTTGAATTCCTGTATAAAAACCCGAGCATTTTGCGTGCCGATCTACAAATATTTTCAATGTGAATATTAAATCTTAATTTAGCATCAATTGTAATTCCTAAGTCTCGGATGGATTCAAGCTTCTGAAGTGGATTATTGTTCAACGTGTATTGGGTTTCTGATGCAGTATGCTTACGCGTAAAGTTGATATATGAACATTTAGAAGCGTTGAGATCCATGCCATTTAACTTGCTCCAACGAGCAATTCTATCGACATCTTCTTGTAGAGATTGTGCATCATGATCGTTAAGAATTGCTTTTGCGAGTTTCAGATCGTCCGCAAAGATGAAACATTTTGAATTATGTACACAATTAGTTACATCATTTACGAAAATATTAAATAATAAGGGTCCTAATATGGATCCCTGAGGTACTCCCGAGGTTCACCCATATTTCTGAGAAAAGTGGCCTCTGATCACTACGTATGAAAATCTGAATCTTTTTATTTGACTATAAGTAATACCTTGATATATAATACCAAGGTGTTATTTAAAATTCTTTTTTGTACAATGTTTAAAAAAGATCTTTGGTTTTACAGTTTTCCAAAAGATCCCAATCATATAACCTGGGTACCTAAACGAACAAGCACTATTTGTTCCGAGCATTTTGACCAATCGGTTTTCGTAATCCAATCAAATAATAAAAGGAAAGTAAATGAAACTGCTTTTTTTTATAGGATCGTGTGACAAACGAGCACACAGTCCACCTGGTGGTAAGTGCTTACTGTAACCCATAGACATCTACATCTATCCTCAATAAAGACTCAAGATGCAGATGCGTTGTCACCCGTGAGGCCTAAGATGGAATGCCTCTTTGCCAGTAAAAAGGGTTTCCGGTTCTCTACACTCACCATACGAAACACAGCAGCGTTAAGCTGCTATTTTACGCTGGTTTTCTGTGAGAGTGTGGTCCTTCCCCGTTCGAGCCGACCCATTCGTTCTACAACCATAATATAGCTGCAGCATGGCTCTACCACGTGCTGTACCAACTTGGAAGTTATTGGAAGTAAGTTTATTATTTTGCTACAGGTTTATTTTACATTATGAAGGATAAAATTTAAAACATGTAACAAATCGAAATGGAAGGTTCAGTGAACGATATTTATTCATTTTAAAATGTTATTTACAAGTTTATCGTCTTAGATGGTCTCTACCAAATTGTTGTTTTCAGATGAGCCACGAATCATTAGCGCTTAAATAAAAAAGGACAAACAAATAATCTCAGTGTCATATTTATAATCTATTATTATTAAATATATACAGAGTACTACACTTTTGTACTGTAGAATACAAAATATTACCGCTTTTTACGAAGACATTAGTTATTTTTCAATCCTAAGTAAAATGACGAAAAAAGTATGTTTGGTTAAGCGTAAACTTCAGCCAAGAGATAGCAAATGTTTGATTTTTAGGGTTCCGTTACTCAAAAGGGAAAAACGGAATCCTTATAGGATCACTTTGTTGTCCGTCTGTCTGTCTGTATGTCTGTCAAGAACCTTTTCTCAGTAACGCGTGGAGGTATCAAGCTGAAATTCATATTAAATACTCAAGTCTACTGTCCCTTGGAGCTGTGAAAAAATCAAACTTCTAAGCCAACGCAATCAAAAGATACAGTCGTTTATGCCGCAAATTCGACATTCGCAAGGAAATCTAAACCTACAGGTTACTTCCCGTGAACTCGGAATCTTAAAATTTAGTACGAAGCAACGTATATTAGCACAGATAAAGGAAAAATTGCGAAAAGCATAAATTTTTAGTTACATCATATAATAAAAATATTTTGAATAATTTTAAACTTATATATCGGATTATATACGGGAACTTATATACGGATTTGTTCGGAACCCTCGGTGCGTGAGTTCGACTCGCACTTGGCCGGGTTTTTAATTGCTCCATTCCGTTGCTGCGTAAAGGAAGGACAAAAATAAATAAACAAAAAAACACACTTTCAAATTTTCAAATTTTTAGTTTGGAACTTTATGCGCATGGCGTCTCCTGTTAGTTGAATACTCTAAGATATGAACCAACAAGTAGGAGTCTTTGCTTTTGTAGGTTTGTAGCTTTTGTACGTACAATATTGAATGCATTCGTATTGATTCATATTATGAATCAATACGAATGCATTCATAACTAGTCTTCAAATATATAATGATTTTTATTTGAGATTATTTTGTCAATTTTTCATTATTCTACTGTTAAATGTTAGCGTTTAATAAATTGTCTTTAAAAATAAAAGGTACTTTTTTTTATAGACAATTACATATTTTATTTATCATTATTGCCATAATAAAAATTGTCACATGTATACATGAATGAGATTTTTGAGATCGTGTTTCCTTGTAAAAATAACTACAATATCTATTTATGCCGACCGACCCCTGTAAGAAATTAGCTTGTGAGATCCAGAAATGCCTATCCGGTAAGTAAATCCATTATTATTTTATTTATGAATCGTCTTGCCGACATCCGACATGAATTAGTCGCCATCTTTGCTTCAACCTTTCAGTCGCCTCCTCAGAATTGCGGGCGTTTCGTCGCCGATTTTCAATGTTTTGCTCAATTATATCACTATTGTTTCTATCGAAAACTACATAAAATTTTTAAGTGTCTTACATAACACTTAAGTGCAAAAATGAGTTTTTTCGGATTCGGACAGACGGCAGATATCGAAATCGTGTTCGATGATGCTGACAAACGTAAGGTTGCTGAAGTGAAAACGGATGATGGAAAAAAGGAAAAGTTGTTGCTCTACTATGATGGGGAAACTGTATCCGGACGAGTTAATGTAACTTTACGAAAACCCGGTTCAAAATTGGAACATCAAGGAATTAAGGTAGAGCTCATAGGTCAAATCGAGTTATTCTATGATAGAGGTAATCACCATGAATTTATATCATTGGTTAAGGAACTAGCAAGGCCTGGAGACTTGCTTCAACATACATCGTATCCGTTTGAATTTGCAAATGTTGAAAAACCATATGAAGTGTATACAGGTGCTAATGTCAGACTAAGGTATTTCCTTCGAGCTACAATTGTTCGTCGTCTTACGGATATTGTAAAAGAAGTGGACATTGCTGTCCATACTCTGTGCAGTTACCCTGATGTTTTAAATTCAATTAAAATGGAAGTGGGTATAGAAGATTGCTTACACATAGAATTTGAATATAACAAATCAAAATATCACTTGAAGGATGTCATTGTAGGTAAAATTTACTTTTTATTGGTGCGCATTAAAATTAAACACATGGAAATATCCATTATTAAAAGAGAAACAACAGGTTCTGGACCTAATACATTTACGGAAAATGAAACTGTGGCAAAGTATGAAATCATGGATGGCGCTCCAGTAAGAGGAGAGAGTATTCCAATTAGGGTATTTTTGGCTGGATATGATTTAACACCTACAATGAGAGATATAAACAATAAATTTTCAGTTAGGTATTATCTGAACCTTGTTTTGATGGATACAGAGGATCGTCGCTACTTTAAACAGCAGGAAGTCACTCTATGGAGGAAGAGTGATAAATCTAGATTGCCATTACACAATCCACACCACCCTCAGACATTGTCTCATCCATCAAGCACCCATGCACATAGGCAGCACAGTGTTTCAAGTGAAGAAAATTCAGCTCAAGGTGTATCTCCATCTATTCCAGAGAATTCACTTCAGAGGTCTATTTCTCCACCCATGCCTGACATTAACAAACAAAATGGACCAACTGAAATGGAACAAGAAAGCCCTGATATAATATCTAACCAGTTATCTAATACACACATTGAAAATAATGATGTAACAAAGTCAGTTGTTGATGTTGTTGAAAATTCTGATACTCCCCCAGAAAAAGTTATAAATAAACCACAAACTGTGGAAAAACCACAGGTTGCTGTAAAGCAACAGACTGTTGAAAAACCACAAGTTGCAGAAAAACCACAGATTGCTGAAAAGCCACAACTTGCAGAAAAGCCAATAGTAGCAGAAAAACCACAGTTAGCAGAGAAACCTGTTGCAAACCAGTCTGAAAGTGTAGAAGCAAGTTCCAGTCAATAACCTTTATGCATATGCAAAGTTAATGTTGGAGTCACTGATGATATGAACTGTGTGTTTTCATATTTGAAAACAATTGTTTAAGTTGTCATAAAGTATTTATGCAAAATGTGTACCAATCCAATTTTATAGGAATGTAAACAATGCTTAGCTACTCTTATTTAGAAATATTCCTCCCTCCCCTTTTTACCGTTGGACAACCAGGCAGTCAGTAGCTCTTCACACTTTTGTTGTTACTATACCACATATTCAAACCAAATGGTTTGCTTTGCTTTTTGTAATGCATATAGCAAATGATTGGGATAATCTGCCAGTGTCTATGTTTCCGTCCGATTACAATCTGGGTGTCTTCAAGGCAAGAGTGAAAGGAATTTTGTTGTGCGATTAACCATCTAGGGCTTCATCACCACTTACTCCCTGGTTTGATTGTAGTCAAGCACTGGCTTATAATCTATACATATAATAAATCTGTAGAAAAATTGTGTTCTCAATTCACTCAAAAACTACTAAACGAATTTCCATTTAGTTTTGTATTTAGGTAGTAAGTGACCATGTATAACATATAGACAACTTTTTATCCGCTTACGAAAGAGTGAAAAGGGGTTGTTTTTCCTTTTTGTTTTTAGTTTATTATCATTATAGCTGCTATTGGTTCTATAAGTTGTAAAGAGGAATTAGCTTCACGTATAATAAATCTATAGAAAAGTGTGTGTGAAAATGAAACTCATTCTGCCACCTATTAGTAAGGGCAGAATAACATCTGCCGGGCCAGCTAGTAAGTAAATAAAATCAATGCAAAATCTTTTAAAATAATAAATTATTTATTTATAAATAGACCTAAAATATGAAGTACCTAAATATGGCTTACATTCATATAAAATTGGATTAGAACAAACTTTATATCAAAAAGATGGAAATTGTTACTGCGTTTTTTATAGCTTTACTTTTGTTTCTATATTATATATGTTGCCATTTTCTACCAACACTCATTAAATATCATTTACCTTAAGCACTTCACTGTATAAAATGTGTTTTAAGAAAATAAAATGTCTAATATATTTTTGTTGTATAAGAGGAACTATTCTAAGTTATTTGCAGTAGTTTTGATAATCAAACCGATTCATAATTTTGCTTGAAAACTGCATCCTTTTTATCACAATTTATATCAACATTTATTGTTAATGATTATGATCAATAACAATTTTTTTTTAAATATCAAATAGATATTTTAGAATCTACAAATCTTTAATACAATGGAATTCTACAAAGTATAAGTAGTTTGATTCTATTATTTAATGATAAAAAAATCCATCATAGAAATTTTATATAATAAATAACAATATAAATTTAAAAAAATGTGATGATTTGCCTAATTTATTATAATAATGAAAAAGATTGAGGTCTTTAGGTATCAATATCAGCCTTAATGGGAATTCAAATTCCATTTAAAATGGTATTAACATCTAGGGCACAATATAGTTGCAAAATAGTAAACATTTGATGTATTGCTATTTTAAAGATTTTTCTAGGTGACAAAAACAGGTACATAATAAAAAAAAAATCATTTGATGTACTATACAGGCTTGTAGATTCCACGATGCTATTTCTTTTTGACAAGCTATACATTTATGTTCATCGAACTAATAAAGTTTCAATATCACAAAGATTAACAGTACGACTTGTTCTCTTATCAATTTAGTTTTATTCATTGTAATTGTTACATATGCCAAATTTATCTTAAAACAACATAATACTTTACTATTCATAAAGGGGACAATTACTTTTTGTATTATAATGGGCCCACCACTGTAACCAGGCGTAATTTAATGAAACACATGTCGATTTATTCCTTTAACCAATAGATATATTAGTTTTATCGTATCTAATGGGAATACTGAGAAATTAACAATTAAAATATGAATATCACAATAACCTAAAAATAAACTAAAGGTGATTGTCTAGTAGGTTTCACCCATATTATAAGTTAAAATAGTGCACTGTTCAATAATTAATGGTATCAAAGAATGTTGTAGGTACATTCTGCATTTATAGGTAGGTACTTTAAGGTTGATGAAAAAAATTTTTAGTAGTTCGTTATACGCATTTTTTTTTCATATTACATTAGCCAATTCACAAATATCAAAAGAACTTTTTTTTCAGGTTTAATTTTTTTTCTATAATAAATTGGTATCTTATTTATGTGTAATAAAATTAAGTTATGTTAAAGTTTCTAATGGGCCCAAAAATGATTGTCTCCTTTAAATATTAGTTTCTTTTAACTTGGAATTTTATAGGCAATAAATCAATATTCAATACACAATTTATTAAAATGTCTCTAGTGCAAGTTATATGCAACAAAAAATAACATTTAAAACATGACAAAATTCAAGTGGCTTGTATTTCAGATGAAATATCTGTAGTTTAAGAAAAATAAATCTCATGTATTAATTATTATACTTTGGTTGACATTTATGATTCTAATGAAAATATTGAAGTGCAAAATCTTTAAATATGATCATTATTAGGCATATAACTATGGTGTCGGAATTCAGCTATGGTGAAATATGGTTAATTATTTTTCAATATTTTCACATTAAAATTATATAATGTTGCCATTTTCTTTTTGTTAGTGATTATTAACCGTGAATTTTGTTTTACAATATTTTTTCTGACAAAAGTACCTAATTCATATTATGTTTCAAAATGTAAGGCCGGCCACATACATACGGAATTCCGTTTCGGGATTCCGTTTCGATATTCCGATTCGAGATTCCGAACGCAGCAAGTTCATATAAAATCTATGAACCGTCACACACGTACGGTAGTTTTCCGTTCGAAATTTTGCGGGCAAAACGTGATTCCGTATGTCTGTAGCCGACCCGTTCGGAATTCCGAAACGGAATCTCGAAACGGAATTCCGTATGTATATGGCGGGCCTTAAGCGACTATTTTATTAGTATTTGTTATGGTACATAGAGCATATAAACTCATAACATATTTTACATTTAAGTGTTCATTAATATAAGCATGCAATACATTTCCACATTCATATGCTCACATCAATTTGTTCCAATTGAAAATGACGGGCATCTTGCTGCCAATTGAAAATCGGTCATGTTATCAGGAAATTATATTAGTGAATCATGAACTGATTTTAAAAAAATGTTACTACAATATACTTTTTGGTACATTTTATTTTTAAATTTATAGTTATTTTTCGCTATTTGCTGCATAAAATATATATATATATATATTTTTTTTACTTACAAGTGATTAAATATTATTTCACATTATATGAATGAATTACGAAATCATTAAAGCATCGTTACTGCAGTGTATTACTATTTACTTGATTTTATTTTTAATTCAGTTAAGATGTACATTTTTTGCAATGCTTATTACACATTTTTTAAATTTACATGAACTTTAATTAGATATAATATAATTGTTTTTCATCTGAGTGTAATGGCTGAATTAAGAAAATGGCTACATTAAATCTGTAAATATTACCTGCAAACAGAATGATAATGATACTTGCAGGCACTGGATTCCATTACCGCAAACTCACAAGAAAATTTCTATCTTGTTAGTTTTTGTTAAAAGTTTATTTTATTTAGTCTCAACAAAAAAGATGAATCTTATAGACTATAGTCTGTAAAAAGTATACTAAATATGTAACTGTGAAAATGATTATAACATTAGGAAATTAGTTTTTAAAGAATCGTTGACTGTGGGACACAGATTATTAATGCATCCAATAGGTTCAAATTGTATGTGGTGAAATTAATTAAATTAATATGAGATTGTTTTATGTAGGCCACAGTCAGTTATAATAATAATTATTATTTTTCACTATTTTATGTAAAATAGAAAGCCATGTTATGAGACACTGTTATATTATAACCTACAGATTATTTTGTTTTAGTAATCTTATTGTATAAAAGTATCCTTTTTTTTTTAAGAATTTAAGAGCGCATGTCGATTATATCATATTGTTAATAAAATATATGTATAAATTGCAATCATTATTTTCTGTTGATTTTCCTTAACCGCGTAAGTCGCCTTACAGTGCTTATGTAAAAAAGTAATGTAACAGCCTACAAATGTCTCCCACAGTTAGGCACAGGCTTGCTCTCATTTCTGGGATGGTTTTAGGACAGAAAGGGTCCGCTCCGCTACCCCACTGTGTGAATAACGGACAGCACTCTACGTATGCACATCTACGTGGTAGAGCCATGCTGCAGCTATATTATGGTTGTAGCACGAATGGGTCGGCTCGAACGGGGAAGGACCACGCTCTCACAGAAAACCAGCGTAAAATAGCAGCTTAACGCTGCTGTGTTTCGCATGGTGAGTGAAGAGAACCAGAGACCCTTTTTACTGGCAAAGAGGCATTCCATCTTAGTCCTCACAGGTGACAACGCATCTGCATCTTGAGTTTAGATGAATCTTCATCTTGAGTTTAGAATTGAGGATAGATGTAGATGTCTATGGGTCACAGTAACCACTTACCATCAGGTGGACTGTGTGCTAGTTTGTCGCCCGATCTTATATAAAAAAAAAAACATTACAGCCTTTCACAAATCCACTGCTCAACAAAGATCTCACCCAAGAAATGCCACAAAGCACGGCACCTGCATACATCAATCTCCTGAATCTCTTATCAGGTCGTCACTCCATCTAGCCGGTTTACACTTCGCTTACCAATGAGACTGCTACTCAAGACTCAAGAACCTTTCTCCCCCGTAATTTTTTTATGGTAAATCATTGCCTTTTAAAATGTAACTTTCTCTTGTAATTTGAGTCATTTCACGTACATAAATTTCATATGAACATACATACATTTTGCAGCTATACGCTACCTACCGGCTACCGCGCCATCAATTGGGTTAAAAATAAAATATTTTTTTTTGTTATTAGTATACATAGGTAAATTGCATGTCGTCTTATAAAAAATATTTGATACAGAAGTGGTTTTTAAAACTGCTCCAATTCCAACGTCT